TATTATGTTATATTATATTTCAAGTATGTTCTAGGAGTTGCAACATGGTGCCGCAGGTTTTGGACCGAACACAAAAATTTATATTATATGATATTATATTATATTATATTATATTATATTATATTATTGTATTGGAACAGTGTAGGTCGAACGTCATCTTACATCTGATATACAACATAGATACCTAAAGCTGTTTTGCAGCACCACGCCCAGTTGCTGACCCAGCTGCTGTGACCTGCAGAGGTGCCGGTCAACATGCCAGGAATGCCGAATCTGCCGATGAGGCCCACAGTGGCTTGTAGCAGAGGTTGTGAAGCATGTGAGTCTCATAGGGCTGCGGGCTCTGAGGATACAGCTTCACGGCGGGGCAGCTGCAGCCTGAGATCTTTCTGGAGTTTTTTTCTGATGGCTTCTGGAACTAGTTGCCATCATGCTTTCTGATTGGCAGGAGGTGGATATGGAGCCCAAGCTCAAGAGCACCAAGGTGAAGACCAAGCTCGACGCAGCACAGAAGTGAGCCCCATTGGGTATTTCAGGTGACTGTAAGGCTCCTTTATTTGGATGACACTGGTGTTTTGATGCCGTGCGTGTTTGGGATCCTCTGCATCTTTGTTATTGCTATTTGTTTAAGCACGTGGTTGCATGAACACCGAAGCGACAGCAACAGCCGGAATAGTTATGAGCAAAAATAGGTGATGTATTGAGTTGGGGGCTTTGTCATTCCTGAGCGCTCCTTTGTCTACCTGTCGTATTGTTCCGATGATTCAGTCTTATTTTCGCCGGCACGCGCAAAACGAGAGGCCGAGCACACAGTGTAACAATTAGCAAAGGGGATCCGCTTTCTTTTTGATAATGAGGCTTCGTCAGGCCCAGAACGTGTGAACACCTCTTGTCGCACGTCGGCATCACGTAGTATAGCAGGAAGAGCAGCGATTCCGCACGATGGAAGCTTGCGGGGCCTGCTTTAACTACTGGTTCAGGCTTGTGCTCTTCAATGCTCTTCATCTCTTCACCCGTTGAGTTCATGCTAGAGAGCGCGACATACAGATCCCGACCTGTCAAAACCCCAAGCCCCGAACCCGAGTGGAACGTTGCCCTCTTTGCCTCGCTAGCGGCACTAGCTCTCGAGATTCTCGCAAACAACGTGCCTGTGTCTAAGAGCGATGTCTATGTCTGGACCCTTCTGGTTCATGCCGGCTTCAGTCGGGGGCATAGGGTTTCCGGGTCAGGCTATTCGGAGTGCATGTTTGTGTTGCTCCCAAGACAAGCACGCGAGAAGAAAGTGAGCAGGGGGCGACGATTTCGGGGCATTGAAGCGAGCTTGAGTCGCTTCCCGATCGCACTTAACATGGTGTGTAGGTACTTGGCGGAGCATCAGCTGGAGGAAGTCATCACCGATGTGGTGCGGGAGGTCGCACCCTCGACCCTTGGTCCGGAGTTTTGGTGTGATACCACTTCCAGGTCATCCACGAGAAGCCTGCCGAGCCACTCTTGTTCTTATCCTCCCAGATCCTGAAGCATGTCCCGGGCTGGGAGAAGATGCGACTCGGGTGCTTCCCATTTCCTCACACCTCCGGTGCCTCCTGTGAGAGGCGGCCACCAGGAAGCCCGGGCTCCTTCCGTGCGAACCTCGAGCTTCTAGTCGTTCCAGTTCTTGCAAGCGCATCCCTAAAAAGACGGTCCAGCGATCTCAGAAAAGACAAGGAGGGAAGGCTTCTAGCTTTCTTGCCAGACATCTCAACATGCTTCCATGTCTCTGCCCCTCAATGGCAGAATCAGGTTGAAGGGATCTCAAGGGGACGTTCCGTCAGCTCTCCATCAGGCGCATCGAAGATCAGAGGGAGGTGCCGCCGCCTCCACTTATGGAGAAGCCGCAGCATACGGGTGAGCCGCCAAGATTTCCCGCGTTTGACTGTGGGCTGGTTTCATGGCTGCACGGCTGGGCAGGTGGAGCTGGAGAAGCCCTTCGCCAAGACTGGTGGTTCAATGAATAGCAGCTGTGGGTAAACTCGTTTGGTCATGTTCGCTCCATCCTGGCTTATGTTGGTTGGTGCATCTTCCTTCCTTCATTACGAGGCACCTGTGTGTTTTTGAATGTGTAATTATATGTATATGAATTTACATACATATGTATATATATATGTAATATATATTATGCAACATACTATACTATATATTAATATAATATAGTATAATATAATACCATATAATATGATATGATATAGTATAGTACAGTATAACATAATATAATATGATATAATAATATTGCATAATAAAGTATATTATAGTAATATATACAATTCAGGTATATATATATATATAGAGAATATAATCCATAACCTATAATATATATTATATAATATATAATATATAATATATAATATATAATATATAATATATAATATATAATATATACAATATAATA